TCAATCGACATTTGATACTCAGTTCTTCGCTGTCTTTGGTTGGTTTCATATTTATTTGTGGTTGATTTAATTTTTGTAATTGTTTAGTCCAAATTGGTAATTAATTCTAGTTTGACCAAAAAAAAAAAAAAAATTATACCTGAAAAAAAAAAAGATATTCAAATATATTTGTCCAAAATCTACACTTTAACACAAAAGTTGAATGAAAAAAAAATCGAACAAATGTGTCAGGTTGAAAAAGATGAAAAACTGTCGATCAAAACAACCTGTCTTAGGAACAAAAACAAAAAATAGATACAATTAGAAGAAAATATTGTCATCGATAGTATGAATAAATTTCATCAATTGTTCTGCACGCTCTTTCATATTATTTAGACGTGCTTGAATAATTTGATACATTGATGCACTGAAAAAATCAAGTGAAAGTAACGAATGTTGTTCAGGAACAGCACCATCGTCGCAGGAAAACTCTGTGCATATTGAAGAAGAACCAGACTTCTTCTTTTGACGAATTACTTTCGCGTAGAACTTGCGTTGATCGCGCCAAATTTTTTGGACAAAATCAATCTAAAATTGAAGTAAAAAAATTTCTTTTGAAAAAAAAAAAAAAAAAAAAACAAAGAAACCTGTTCTTCAGTCGGATTTAAATCATAAAATGATTTGACCAAATAACCATCATTGATATCGAAATGTAATAAAATTCTTTTCTGTTCAAAATTGATACGGAAATAGTATAAACTACGTTCAGCAAGTGTAATAAGACCATTAGAGATAACATTCAAAAAACTAAATAAAGCCGTCTTGTTGTTGTTTACTTCACAATCAAATGGGTATGGTTGTTGTAAATGAAAATTTATATCATTTTCAGCTTCTTGTAATTTTTTTTGAATAATTCTTTGTCGTTTTTGAATACTTGCTTTTGTTTTTGTATGATCCCAATTAATAGAATTTTTTCTTGTTTTATGTCTGCCAATTTCTAATAACCAAATAACTATGGGCATAGCAGTCAAATCAGCGACATAATTCCAATAACCTAGTTGTATTTTTAATTGAAAAACAGTAGTAATTAATTCAGCACGTTGTTTTAAAAAATCTAATATGTTAATATTTGTTAACCAATCTTTAATATGATGATGAGAATGAGCTGGAACCATTTCAGTTAATACATCTTTGAATTGATCAGGTGATACTTTTTTATAATTTGGCATCAGTATTGATATTCGATACGAATGATCATTAGATAAATTGTAATTTTTCGCCTTTTTTGGATACGTAGCAGACATTGCTGTAGGCCATTCTGTTTCCATTTCTGATTCGAATAAATAAGGAGGTTCGAATCCTGTATCAAATTCAAAGTTTTCTTGACTGTTTTGGTACGGATCTTCATCATTCTATGAACAAAAAAAAAAATCTATGTTATCGAGAAAAAATTTTTTGTCTTACATTGCATTTGGATGATATTGACGTATTGAAGACTTTCTTCACAGCATTTAAATATGAACACTGATTCATACGTTGAATATTTTCATAAACTGAATTATTTGTTTTTTTGATGAGATTTAACATTTCAGTTGCTTGATTACTCATTGCTTCTCTTCGGCATGTTCGTCGGAAACGTTGTAATTTTCTGTTACCACGACATATTTTGTTTTTCTTTTTTTCCACTAAGCCATTTTGGACGGCATGATGTTCAGATGATTTTGGCACAGGTTTGTATGCACGCATAGCGTAGGTTAAATCCAAATTGTAATACCTGAAATATGAGAGCTTAGTTTAAATTGGTTTTCAAGTGTTTAAAAGGGTGTCTGTTGGGTGTATTAATATAGTTGGTATCAATCATGTAGCCAGCAAGACTGGTTTCGATAACTGCTATGAGCTTATACTTATCAATTACTGATGATATAAGTTGTTCACTCAAGTAGATGAATTCTCCTGCTAAGTAACACTAATAGTAAGAAGTTCATAAAACTCCGGTGCAGGTAGTATAATGGTAATATATTATTATCGAGAAAGTTTTCAATATTATAGTATTTATTACTATATTTAAATTTCTATCATGTATATAAATACATATGAAATTTAAAAAGGTGAAATCCATAAAAAGAAACGTTAACTAACCTTAATGAAATAATTGTAAGTAAGAGCTGTTGTTATTGTAGAAGATGAATTGATGTGATCGCTGTTGTGTTTCTCTTCGAATGAATTCATTATGAAAAAATCGGGCCTATTTAAAGGCAAAACCGATATCGAGTGATCTGTCCCACCAGCGACGACAGACATATAGTGGAAGAACGTTTAGAGAGAAGGACACATCACGGCATAATACATTATACAATACGATTAGGCTGAACAGAACACATTATAATATATTAAAGAAGGACATACCACGGCATACAACGATAGACGAACGCATACTAAGTGATAACACAAGACAGAAGGACAGGTCACAGTGTATTTTCGAATTTAATAACGAATTCAATATTTTTTTTTTTTTTTTTTTTTGTAATATTTTTTTAAAAATTTTTGCAAGAATTGTATACATTCCTTCTCAAATGTATTACAAAAAAAAACTGCTATATTTTATCTAACATTAAAATATTTCTATAATTTTGAATTCTTTAATTTTAATCCTTTTTTTTTACTTTGTACGCTAAATTTCTACTTCTAATCTTTTTTTAAAAAAGGGTAGAATTACAAATGGCGATATCAATGTACAATATATCATACTCTAGATATCATTTACTTTTTTTTTTCAAATATATTGTTAAAAATTTTTATCAGAATTCATGAACTTTTTTTTTGAATGCATTACAAAACAAAACCTGTTGTATTTTATCTAACATTAAAATATTCCTATAATTTTAATTTCTTTAATTTTAAATTTTTTTTTTGCCTTGTTTATTATCAGCTTGTACGATAAAATTCGACTTGTAATCTTTCTTAAAATAGGGTAGGATCACACATGGCGATACCAATGTACAATATACGGTACTCTTGATATCGTTTACTTTTTTTTGTTGCAATATTTCGCTTAAAAGTTTTATAAGAATTTTATACATGTTCTTTAAAATTTATTAAAAAAGAAAAGCCTGATTTATTATCTCTATCATTTAAATACTTCTATACTTTTAAAATTTTTAATTTTTATTTTAATTCCTTTTTTTTTTAGTTTGTACGGTAAATTTCGAGTTCTATTATTTTTTAAACCATTGTAAAATTAGAAATGACGAAACGTATATATACAATATATCCCAGTCTAAACACCATATACTACTTTTTTTCAAATATTTTGTTTAAAATTGTAATAAGAGTTCTATACATTTTTTTTAGATGTTTTACAAAAAAAAACCGAATTTATTATATCTAACATTACAACATTTCTACAATTTTTAATTCTTAAACTTTAAATGTTTTTTTTTTTTGTTTATAGTTTGTAAGCTAAATTTCAACTTCTAATCTTTTTTTTTTCAAATAGGGTACAATTACAAATGGCGATACCACTGTACTGTGTATCATGCTCTAGCTATCAATTACTTTTTTTTTGGTTTTTTGTAAAATTTTGCTTAAAATTTTTATATCGATTGTATGCATTTATTTTTTAAATGTATTACAAACACGAACTGTGATATATTTCTTCTATCATTTAAATATTACTACAATTTTTAATTCTTTAATTTCAGTTGTTTTTTTTTTTTATTTTTAGTTTGTACGCTAAATTTGCGCTTGTAATATTTTCTAAACCATTGTAAAATTGGAAATGACGAAACCAATACACAATATATCATAGTGTAAACACCATGCACTTTTTTTGGCAAATGTTTTGTTTAAAATGTTTATGAGAATTGTATGCTTTTATTTTGTAACTGTATGTCAACAGAAAAAACCTGATGCATTTTATGTAACATTTAAATATTTCGACAATTTGTAATTCTTTAATAATAATTCTTCCTTTACTTTTTTTTTTTTACAACTTTTACGCAAAATTTCCAATTCTAATATTTTTTTATGCATTGTCAAATTGGAAATGACGAAATCAATATACAATATATCCCAGTCTGAACACCATATAGTATTTTTTTTTTCAAATATATTGTTTAAAATTTTTTATAAGAATGGTGTGCATTTATTTTCTTAATGTATGACATGAAAAAAACCTGATACATTTTATCTTACATTTAGATAATTCTATAATTTTAATTGTTAAATTTTAAATCCTTTTTTTTTTATTTTTTTAATTTCTACGCTAAATTTTGCATTCTAGTATTTTTTAAAGCATTGTAAAATTTGAAATGACGAAACCAATATATACAATATATCATGGTCTAAACACCATGTGCTGTTTTTTTTTTGTAAATTGTTCATGAATTTCTGTGAACTCATGTTCAATTACAGACCGAATATTTAAAAAAAATAGTAACTGTTAAAGATGTATATTTGATGTTTTTAAACATAGTAATTTCTTCGGAATTTATTTCGAAATATTTCGAGAAATCTATTCTCGACAAATATTAACTAATTTATTTAAAAGCATTGCAGCATTAAACATTTCATTTGAATTTTTTTTTTTCTTAAACTTCGGTTGAAAATTGTGATTTTTTTTTTCATGTTTTTACGATTCTTATACTATATGTAAATCTTTTTATATTTTGTGTTAGAACTTCTATTTTCAACGTTTTATGTTTTTCTAAATTTATTTTATTATAAACTTCCATTATTTTATGCAATGTTGTACGTAGCCAAAAATCTTTTTAACTTTTTTTTTATTCTCCATGGTGTTGCTCCATGATGTTATTGCGTCTTACAATGAAGAAACTTCATCTGTATTTATATTGAATGAATGAAAATTATGAAACATGTGTCATGAAGTAGTAACTATTTGGTTCATTTTCTGATATTTCATTTCAAAAAAATGATTTAACACTTAACTTTTATTCATGAAACAAAAACAAAGAAAAAAAATAAACATTAATGAAAAAAAAAAAATTGTTTTTTATAGTTTTTCAACATTCCCAGTCGTACGATTCGTAAGGATCACATATAAATGGCGACGGTGGTAATGATATTGATGGAAATGATGAACTATGTTCACTACTGATTTCATCATCACTGGATAAATAAGATTGTGAAGTTGATGTTGAAACTTCACATTGTGGACTCTGATGATCATTATGTAAATTGTTGCCCGTGTGACTGTCACTAAGAAAAAAAAAATTTATAATGTAAATATTTTATAAAGATTTTTTATTCTTAAAACAAATTACTTTGGATGTAAATTATCACGTGGACGATCAATAAGAATCAAACGACGGGAAAAGGGCATAACAAGCTAAATTATATAAATTATAATTAAGTTTAAAAGACAATAGAATGTTCTATCTTACTCTTCCATTTTCATTAATATCAAGTAGTAGAATCAATTGCATATAAATATCATTCCTAATGTTCTACAAAAAAAAAACGATTGAATTTATGATTTTTTCTTGTTATTCATTTAATTTTTTTTTCTCACTTGTTGTTGATGCACTGATGTAGACGACATAATAGGTATTTTGCTATACAACTGGTGAAAATTTTTTAAGTTTAAATATATATCTAAAATAAAAAAAAAAAGATTAATTGTGTACGGCTTTTGTTGAATGTCATTTTTTTTCTCAAATTACTAATGTAAACATCAGTAATGGATGTCAAAATGTTTAACTTTGAAACGAGTTATTATAGTATTATAGTCTTGAGAAAATTTTTAACGGCGTATTACCAATACAATGACAGTGCCAAACTGATGAATCCAATAATGTTATTCTTAACTTATCATCATTGATTAACAGTATTAGTATATTTAATGAACATAGGTTTCACTTTAGAATAGAAACATATATTGTACATAGCACTATATGTTTATTTAACAAAAAAAAAAGAAAAACAAGAACAATAGTTTTAAACATATGTATATTTCAAAAGTTGCCAAAATAGTCTACATTTGCTGAAAATATATAAAGTTTTCTTTTTTTTTATTTTAATTTATTCTTTTCGTTTCTTTCTGCTTCTGCATCATGTTTTGGATCTTTGTCATCAATATGCTTCTAATTTTTATATAGAGATAGAATTATTTGATTTAAAAAAAATCTTTAGTATGAAAAGCGTATATTTTCGAGGGAAACATACTTTTTTATTTACTAATTTTATATTACTATCATTTGATAGTATCGACTTGTTTGGAATACTAATTGCAGTTTTACTTTGTGATGACGATTTTTTTTTAATTGTACTGGTGTTGGTTGTCCATGACGATTGTACATAGGGAGCACGCATTAATGCAGCACGTTTACAGATAATTTTAATTAACTTTGTTTGCATTTTATCACTTATCTATTATCTGATATACGATAGAAATTCGATATAAATTATATTAAAGAAAAGATTCATCTATGCATTCTCATCGACTATCCATGATTTATTCAGTTTTATCGAAAATTAAATTGAATTTTTTTTCAGGGAAATCTTTTTAGAATTGAGATTATTCTATCATAAATAAATAGATGTCTCATGGATATACGACTATTTTTGGATTAAAAAACAAATTATAGCTAATTTAATTATCTCAAACTAAAATGGTCATAAATCTTACATAGAAGCTGATTTTTACTTGAATATATTAATTTATGAAATGAATATAGAAGGGTGAAAAGAAATGTGTTGATTAAAAATGAAGGAATGTTCCAGACTAGTCTAGTAGGACATACCACATGGAAACAAACGTTATACCCTGGACGAGGTTATAGGACATACCAGATAAGAGGAACGGTCACCGTCTAGACAGTAACTAATCCCTTTTCGAATAGTTCATTCCCTAGATGTTAACGGATTTTTGTTCAAATTTCAACGACGAAATGTTTTGAAAATATATCGGAATAAATTTCAAATATTTTTCTATTTTTTATCAATTCTTCTAAACATTTAAAAAAAGATGTACAAGTTCTTTTTTTTTCTTCTAAATGATACATGTCTTCGCTAATTTCTTTCGAAAATATATCATATATTAATTTCATAATTTTTTCGGTGAAAAAACGAGACTACCAAATCAATTTGTAATATTCTCAATAGCTAATCTCAAAAATCCATTGAGATATATTTTTTCGATTTTCTTTACTCTCGAACTGGCATCAGCCAATAGTTTATAACATTCCAGTTAGATTGTCTATCACTAATGTCTGAGATGAAAATTCAAAGAATGATCGTTATATAAATTAAGAAAAAAATGCTGCGAGAGTAGTGAATCATTAGATATATTCTTTTGTTTATAATAATAAGAAAAGATTATAGTTTCAGTTTAAATTAATCAAAAAAAATAGTTTATAACAAAAAAAAAAAAAGTTACTGAAAAGAGCAATATGTTCCTATACTTGATATTCATCATTTGCATCCATGTCATTTTCGACGATATTGTAATCGTCAACCAAATAATCTATATATAAATCTTCATCGTTATCATCAATCATTGAATGATAATGTTCCATTTGATTACTAACATCAAACAGTGAATTGTTTACACTTATATTACGAAATATACTATGTAGAAATTCAGAAAAATTTTCTTCAATATTTAAATAATCAATCTGATCTTTAAAATATTTAATAAATTCATCTTCAGAAGTGTTTTGATTCTGCAGAAGCAACATAAAAATTTCTTCAATTGAACCTTTTTGAAAAAACTGTTCTTTTAAAATTTCTCTGAAATTTTTATTGTATTCCATTGTATGGTACACACGAGTTTTTTTTAATCAAATATAATCGAAACAATCAATATTATTTTCTATGGATTTATTTAAACAACACGTTAGAAACAATTTTAAACTTTTCCACGTGTTTTATTACATTTGTTTTTGTCTGTCTAGTATTCTTTATAGTAAAGTTTAAATACATCGGGTAAACGTTTTTCCTTTCCTCCCAGACATTGTGACCTCCAAATAACCTATGATTAGAAATTCAGAGTGAATCTATTTTTTTTTTTTTCTTTCCATGTCTAATAGTTTTCCGTCTACTATATATTTAAATTGTAATATTGTTACCAATGTACAAAATATTGTTTCTTTAATATCCATTTTATTCATATATATATATTTGAATGAAAAACAAAAAAAAAAAAAATAATCGAAGAAAACAAAAAAACAAAAAACATAATCACAACGTTTTCGTTTGTGTGAAGATCGACACAATTTTATAGAGGTTCATTTCACGAAACAGGTCATATATATGACAAAAATGTAGACCTAGATGTTACCGGGGTGCTCATCATTTGCGGAATTGTATTGTGAAGTTTGTGACCATGGTAAATCAACAATGAGAAGACTCATCATTGCATCCTCATCATTGAAATAATGAATTAAATCTTCATTTATCCCATCTTGTTTTTTTTCAACAGTTTCATTTCTTCCTTCATTATTTGTAATTGGTGAAGCTTGTTCTTGTTCTTGACGAAATTCTTGTACTTGTTGAACCATATCTTTGTTCGGGCTTCCATTATAATCGGCTGCTTGTTGTTCAAACTAAAAGTTAAATTTTTCAAAACAAAAATTCTTTGCCTCTTATTACTATATTTTACTGATAATAATCATTACCGTACAACGCGGAATTCGTATGTAACATTCCATACAATCAATCAAATTCACATTCACTTGTTTTGTACGAATTTGTTGACTTAAATACCGTTCATTCGTTTCATTATTCATAGATGATGAACCACTTGATTGAGTTGATTGCACAGGTCTCTGTTATGAGAAAAAAAAAATGACATATGTTAAATAAAAAAAAAAATCGATTGGAGACTTGTGTCAATGGTTGTTGTTCTTGTTGAATATTGCAGTTATATGTTTGAAAGTTAACTTCTAAACAAGATCATACATCAAAAATGAATTCCATATGTATGAAAATGTATATCTTCAATACCTTGGGAACGTTGTCGTTCTGGATGTTTTTGTTGTGAATGAGTTGACATGGTTTGAATTTGGAGTAAATGGGGAAAGAATATATGTCTAGAAAAGAGCAACGAAAGTAGTATATTTGTTTAAATAGGGCGATAAATAATATCATTATTTGTAAATACAAAAAAAAAAGATAAGAAATCAATACACTAATGTTAGTCATAGACAAAGCCTCAAAGCATAAAGACACTATGTATTCTAATACCATTAAAGTATTTTTTATTTCATTTATTCTATAGTTGTATATCTGAAAAAAAATTATGTTCATGATTCCATTACACGTCTTTGAGGAGCGAAATGTTTCATTCAACACAACTTCTCGAATGATACCATCGTTGAATTATACTATATCTACAACAAAAGAAACATAATGACATTTTTTTTTCAAAAATATAGGCAAAAAAAAACAAAGACACGAAAAACATGACATGTAACTAATTTCTAAATGTATAATGGATGAGTTCAAATACAAAAAAAAAAAAGAAAAGAAAACAAAAGAAAAATCGCGTTATAACGACGAAGCATGAACACAGTCTCATACATATGAGAAAAAAAAGTCTTTATTGTCCAAGTGTCAATGCCGGTTTATCCATTCCTAATAAAGTATTTAAGGAATGAAAATTCTTAGCATTAAGAATAATTTTGCAGTTTTCTTCTGATAAAGTTGGATGTTGTTGAAAATATTGATGCCAGAGTTGACGAAAATCTCGATTAAAACGACATTTGGGACCAAAATCATATATATAATGAAATTGAAATAAACAATTTGTATCATCTAATTTTTGAAGTTGTTGTGATAGTTCGTGTCGTTGTTCAATAAATTTAAACCATTGTTGACGAAATTGATCATAGCTGTTTTGATTATATGAAAAACGCATTGTTTCAGAAGAAAAATGATTGAAAAAAAATTTCACATGTGTTTCAACAAATAATACAGAATAACCATTGATAAGATAAGTTAGTTCAAGATAAACTCGTTCTTGTTGAAAATCATCCACTGATGTACAATAATAGACAGCACGTATTAAAGCGAAGAAAAGCCAATCACTGTGCGATGATTTAGTATGACCAATAACATACGGTAATATATAACGTTGCATATTGGAATCATGATGAACCCGAGTATATAATTGACCTTGGCGATTTTCAATATATGCATTGAGAAATGAAACAGTTGTACCAATTAATTTTTGAAAACGGATATTTCGGTGTTTTTCTCGAAGATCTTCTAGAAATGTTTCCAATGCTATAGCAGTTGATTTATTCCATGTAAAGAATATTCGATCTTTGTATCTACAACAATCACAACAGTCATCTATTGAACTGTAAAACAAATATATCTACCTTCCAAATAATTCAATGTTTTGATTGACTTCTTTCAAGATTTTTTTTTGCCAAACAAATAAATAAATATTCGATAATGTTTCCGTTAATGGTAGTGTGTTTGGACTACCTTTGGTGAATTTATAGATACTATTCTTGTATGAAAAAATATTATTATGAAGAAATAAATGTAATAAATTTCGAATTGTTTGAATGGTGAGTGGTTCGAGCTTGTTTGTTGCTAAATTATCTTGTAAAAAATAACCAATAACATCGATCATCTCTTTATGTTCTTCTAATGTACAGAAATTAGTTATTTTGATGGTACAAAATAAAGTTGATGGGCGAAGACGACGTTCAATGGTGGCATAGCGATATAATTTTCGAATAAAATCAGTTTCATCCGTAAATGAAGTTGAACGTAGTACACCATTAGCATAAGGTCGTAATAATTTATTTAAATATTTGGCTATTTTCCATGTTGTACTATATTGAGATGTAACAATAGGTACTAAAGACAACACATTTTCCTCAATGAATAAAAAAACAACAATAGATGTATAAGTGAAATAAGAAAAAAACTCTAAGTAAATATTTACATTGGATAGATTTGGTAGAAAATATAAATATGGTATTTTGACATGAGTTGTATCAACTATAAATTGTTTATATAAATCATTGTTAATGGCTTTATGTATTTTTAATTGTTCTAATAAAGCATTGATCGATTCAATCATATCTTTCATAGCAAGAGTGAATGGTTTTTCATTATTTATATCATTGACATCAAATAGAACATCGTAATCTTCGGATGTTAATAAATATCGATCGGCTTTTTTTTCAAATTCTTCTTTATTTCCCATGTAGAATATATTCATATTATCAGCAGTTCTTCGTAAAATAATATTATGTTTCTTGAGAGAAATTCGAATAGATTCAATTAATTTTTTTTCATAGAGTGCACGTTGTGAGAGACTCGATGGAATTGATTTGGAAAATAAATCTTTGAATAAATCGTACAGTTTCTTATGAATTTCCATATGTAAATTTAAATTAACTTTATATTTTAAAAATAAGTTATTGAGTTGATGTTTTAATGGAGCATATTGTTTCTTGACTATGTCACCCATCGATTCATTGGATAATGATGTATACATTAAACATGATGGTACATAACTGGGTCCACGACTTAATAATTGTAGTTGTTTGTCATTGAATGGATGTTGTACATCAATAATAATAGAAGATGAAGATGACATAATTTTCACGTATTGTGTTATTTCATCCTGATTCATATGATCTAATTCATCATAAGCATTTTGAAGAAAATAATCGATTCTATAATTGTAAATATCTCGCCATCGGTTCGTAATATTAGTAAGACGTTTTTCGAGTAAACTAATTAATGATGTTATCATTCCTTGATCTTTAACTAAATTACGATGATTTTTCCACAGCAAGGATAATTCAGAATCAAATTGAGCTTGAAGTCGATAATAAGTGACTTCTGCTTGCGATATATTTATAGCTATTAAATCAAGTTTCTTACATCGAAGTTGATATTCATATTTATTAATAAATTGTTGTTGTTTTCCTTCATTATTCAAATTCGTATCATTGATAGTTGACGTCGACATTTGAATCGAATCGAATGAGACCGATGATTTATTAAAGAATACACCATGTTTCAATTCCATTAATGCTCGTTTTGATTTTTCAACCTGACGTCTCATATTTGATAGACGTTTGGCAATTTCATACTAAAGGATACGAAATAGAGAAACAAAAAAAAATGAATTGAACAAGTTCTTTTCAGATCGATATAATTTTTACTTGATACTCATTTGGTTTTTCTGCCATGTATTTTCGTTCGAGGATTTCTAATTCGAAATCATGTATCACTATTGCTGTTTTTAATTGATATTTTAATTCAAGTGGTTTAATTCCAAATTCTTTAACAAATTTTTCTATCGTTTCATTCATAGTCAATGTAAATCCGATCAAAGAATTTTTTTTTGCTAATAACTTTTCTTGATAATATTGAATTTCTTCATTTAATTCTTCTAAACGTTGATTGATTAATTTTTCACAAGCAGTTTGTTGATCAGGTTGATTCACATCGTTAGTTGTTGTCATTGGATGGTTGCTTAATAATAAAGATTTTACTTGCATTGGCCATACTCGTCGATCAACTTCGATTAAGTCTAATTCAGGTTCTGTTAATGTGCCTGTGACCGATTTTAGATAGATAATGGTGATATCTTTTTTCATACGAATAGCTTCAATTTGATGCATAAAAAATGCCATTTCTTGTAAATCACTGCTAGTAACAGATGGAGTATTTTGTAAAAGATTTTCAATCATACGAACAAATGCTTTATGATTCATTGTTAAATAATTTGGCATTTGATCTTTCGATTTTGTATCATGAATATTGATGTCATCATCGTCATCGTCACTGTTTGCTCCAGCTATTTTAATTTTCTTCGAAGTTGTACAGGGACTCGTTGTTGAACTAGAACGTCGTTTTTTATCCTTGATTATGGATGAATCCACTTCTTGTTTGGTTTTTGTCGATAATTGACTTAATTTCTGTGATAAAATGGTTTCTTCATCTTCAATTATCTAAGAAGAAAAAAGAATACAAAAATAAAATCATATAAATTGTCATCAGTTGACTTACTTCGACAGAATCCAAGTCATTCAAAATTTCATATTCAATTTTTTCCTCTTCAAATATGGTTGATTGTAATCGAACAGAGTGGAAATATTGATTTAATACATCATCCGAAAATTGTAATCCATCATTTGTATCATCGATAATATCAAATGTATCATTGAACGATTTGATGGTATTTGTCGATACCGTAGTTGTATTTGCCATAGATAAATTATCTGAAAAAAAAAACAAAAAAAAATATTCAAAATAAAGCCAACAATATCTAATGAGGGAACATTTCATAAATTCATAGAAGAAAAAAACATCGAATCAAAAACTGTACAATTGTCCTGAAAAATTTCATTGTTCTGTAAGATCAAGAAAATATTTTAATGGAAATGGCCGTGTTGTATGTTTCATATATTCGTCAATGAGTTGTCGTAATTTAGCAACGAATTGTTCATCCAACGTTGAATCAAATGTTTCATTTTTTTTAAACATTTGTGTCGGCCAGTCCCATGTTGGTTGTGTTGGCTCTTGTTTCACTGTTGCAGCAGCATGCTAGAAAAAATGCAAGAAGCACATATATAGATAAAATTTGATTAAATAATTACTTCTCTTGGTGTATTCGATGATTTGTTTTTAACAATTTGAGACCATCTTGGATTATTGAAAATAATAAAACAATACTGTTGACGTTGAAGATGAGCTGTATATGTTGTCGGCATTTTTTTCACTAATGTTTCGTCTTCGACATTGTTAGAAACTTCCATCGGTTCGACTTTCAATCCATCCTTCTCGTCGGATGTTGAATGTTTCGTGATTAAATTCAAGAGAATTTTGTTTAAATCGTTGGAGTTGATGTCCATCAGTGCAAGATATCTGGAAAATACAAAAAAAAAAAAAAAAAAAAACATTTAATGAAATGAATAGGATATATATGCTAGAAATTTTAATGCTTCAAAATTTTATTTTGAATTCAATGTCATAACGATGATGTTCCCGGAAAAAATGTGACACCTTGAATTTCTAAACCAAAACAATAACTATGAAAAAAAGAAACAGCAACAAAATAACTTGACAGGTCTGTTAACGACGTTGGTCCATATGGAATAAATCAAAAACTAAGTTAATTGGATATAATCGTTGAGTTCGTTGAAGATATGCACGAATACGTTCTTCTAATTCGAATCGTAGTGTATTGTACAGTAATAATTCATGTTCTTCTGTATGAGACATACCAAGATGGATAGGTGCATTGGGCGCTAGCATACCAATTCGAAATCGTTGTTGCAATTCCTAAAAAATAAATTGGAAAAATTATCCATAAAACTCTATGTTCTATTACAGTATTGTAAACAAAAAAGACCTTCATTGAATGTACGTGGTCGAGCATGACGAAAAGAACATGTTTTCATGTAGAACAGGTTTACTAAAAAACAAAGAATAAAATGTATGCAAGAAAAAAATTAGCAAAAAATAGTATTACCATCAAACTGTAAAAAAAATTCCAATGCAGTTGGATATTCTTTTTCTTCAAGTTGAGGTATGGCATTGGGTTGTACATTAAAAGCACGTATTTGTTCATAAGCCAACATTCGGATAAATTTATTCAGACGTGTATAGTTATAATCCAAAATAGATAAATCAACTTTTAACCGTTCGAGTAAATCACCAAAGTACATATTGTATTTTTCTCGTAGAAATGATGGCATGTTAGAAAGACTATTGGCAATGGTACATGCGGGCTTAAAAGCACCAGAACGTCGATAAGATAATTCTGTTGAAGTCAATTGATGATCTATCGTAGTCATAATCAGTATACGAATTTCTTTTTAACAAAAAAATAATATCAACATACATGGAATATTTGCTAATAATGGTTGACCTGTATCTCGTTTAGCATTGTAAGTCGGATAGCATGGCAAAATACATAATCGCCGATCTAGATTTAAAAATCGTTGTTTCATTTCAACGGATGTTGTTATATCATTGGTGACCGCTGTTGGTGTACATAAATCAATAATTTCCATCGTCTCAATTACATCGTTGTCTGTTGTTGTTGACTATACAGATACATTCAATAGTTGAAAAAAAAATTTTTTCAATATTTATTACAATGTTGAAGTTTCTTTCATTCATATCGTCGATGGGCATTCGTTTTCTTTCGATTGTTGAAAAAAAAAAAAAAAAAGGAAATAAACGCTTGATTTTTGCTATGAGGGAACGTTTTTCATTTTTAGTGGAGATATAATCACGAAAAATGTCACAGACCTGATATGTATAATATAATTTTGAGTGGCTGTTGTAGTTGTTGAAGTAATAAAATAAGAATACAGTAAGAAGATAGACAACTGCTTCTTTAGTTAATAATCTATGAAATGAAATGAATACATGCAAAACGAGCCTTTATATAGTAAAGTGCTATACACAGTGGTATGTCCTACGAGCGAGCGTTCGATAATATATGAGTGAAATAGTGAAAGAGACAGGGCACGACATATGCATCTGTACGATTATATATAGGGACATATCACGGCATACTAATACATATATCACTATATACTGGGACAGACCACGTCAACTATCATATAATAATTTTAAAAAAATTGCATACAAACGAAATTTAGGACATTCATGTATTGAAAGTCTCGGTTTTTTTTTTTTTGATAAACTAAACGATCTAAAACATTTGGAAATATTTTTTTTAGTCATTTTCTCGATGATATGTGTTGATTCACAAAATGCATACATATTTTTTTTCCTTTTTGTATATTTTGATAATATATCTATGCTATGTCGTAGTTTTTTATGTGCTTCTAGATATATTTCAATAATAAATTCATGGTAAAAATAAAACTTATTTTATCTTTTCACTATTGAATCAGGGCTCTGTAAACAAGACAAGAGAATGTTTTAGAAATCATAGATAAAATTTGAAAAAAAAAGAATAGATTTCAGACACATGAATTGATTTGAGTCAGAATCAAGCAGCTGTCTCCAACAATATGATATCGAGATTTATATATACTTGTGTGTCATATCACTGAAATTAGAGTATGAAGTTGAGAAAAAAAAAATGATCTCCCACTATTTCGAATGTAAGATTTCAATTCACTATATCCCACAATTGGGATTACTTATTTATTCAAAGATTATGAGTAACATCGGAGCTGAACTACATCCAATACAATAACAAAACAAAAAAAAAAAAAAAAAAAAAAAATTACAAATACAAAAATTGTTCAACAAAAAAAAGAAAAACATTTCTCTTGGTTACTATTGATTAATTTTTTTTTAATTTTGTTTTTTCTTTTTCTGGGCACGAACAAATTTACTGGACGACCAAGCGTCAAACCGTGAACGTACTGTATGTGATTTGAAATCACCAATTTCAATGAAATCACCATCTACAAAAAAAATATAAACAACAATGTGAACGTATCGATTCAATGAATGATTACTTTTTTTAATAAACTCGTTCCATGCCATATCATTCTGAGTTACATCATAATTACATTGGTCACCTATAATAATCCATATTTTCAATTAAATATATTGGAATTGTAAATGAATTATCTTACCGGTTACTTTATCTAGAAACCATATCTTCTTGTTTATAGATTTTCTCAATATGATTTGAATACAGAAAGTGGGCAAAACGTTAGCTGTTGTTGTTGTTGAGATTATTTGAGGATTTTTCACTGATACACAAATGTAGTGTATGATTCCCAAAGGAAAGTGACGATATATTTCCATGATAATATTCTCTTCTATTATGTTAAAAAAAAAGGATTTGCCATTAGTTTCTTTTTTTTGAGGAAGAAAAAAAAATTCATTCTTACTACTTATATTGGAATGACAAATGACGGCATACATTTTTCTTGCCAAACGACATTTTTTAGCACGCCGCTTTCTTAAAGTTTGAGCAGCAGAAACATCGAAACGAAATTTACGACGCAATGTATTTTGATCTAGAAGATTCATTAAAAAAAATGTTGAAACTAATAGAATAGCATAAAAACAATTTATGCATACCTAAATGCCCATATTTCGAGTAGGGTCGATCATGTTCAGTAATGGATCCAACCATGTTTGTAGGTGGATATGGATGAGTATTGATTAATGTTGAAACATGAAATGGCAACATTACTAATGTTAATTGTGTTCCATACGGTGTGTCAGTTGTGTACGACGTATTGTCTACTGTCATAACTAAAGGACAACAACAGAAAAAAAATTTTAAGGAACAATCATATAGAAAAGAATACCATCAGCAACCATTGTTGTGTCAGTAGTCATATCTGTGAATTATAAAAAAATAATTATGATACAAGAAAAGAATGATATTATTGTTTTTTTTTTCCAAAGAACCTTCTGAATTAGATGATGGCTAAGCATCTTCGAATAGATTTGAAAATGATTGTGGTGTTGGTAAGTTCTGAAAATCATCCAGAAAATTCATCACTGAAGCTGGAAGTTCAATCTTATCGGTATCAGAAAACATATTCTGAACCACAGTTGTTGCATATTGAGTGCCATGGTCATTTGCCTAGAAAAAATTATAATGAAAAAAATTTTTTTTCAAATAGAAAAAATTCATTCACTGGATTATATTGTCTATCTGACGATTCGTGATGACCATGATTAAAAGCATCATTATCATGTGTAAAGATAGGTGACATGAATTCATCGGGCATGGAAAGTGTTTGATGATCGAACATGTCTGTATTAAGAAAAATGAATTAACATAGAGTATTACTTAGAATTTTTCGTCAAATTCTACTTTGTTCGTATAAATGAGGATCCGTGAACAAGTCATTATTATTTCCGTACACATAATTGCAGCATTGACAATTGCATGAAGGCTTAAACATTGTGTTGAACGAGAAATAATTTAAATTTGTCTTGGATTCAACACAATGAAAAACAAATTTATCTGGTGATGTAACTCTATCCAAAAACGAATATAAAATAGGTTGGAAACTGTTTCAAAATAATAACAGTTATGCTTATACTCGGAAGACGTACGAATAGATATAGTGTTACGACGAAGTTTGAATTTGAATTAAATGAAATGAAACTGAATATCCGACAGTATTTATAGTGGAAGATGAATCGGAAGAAAAGGCAAAATTTAATTTTCGAGCCATGCTCCTTTCGAGAAAGTGTCTTCTCCATTTTCTTTTTCGTTCACAACATTCTTTGGATATCCAGGGTGCACCCAAGGAGAATAGTTCTTCCTTTCGAAGAATATGTCTGTCTCCGGTTAAAGGTCAATAAATTAATTGTTTCAAAGAATGTTCTAGAAGATTCTATATATATTAAAAAAGTTCAATTTGTACGATGTTTTTTTTCTGTGTTAAGTAAAAAAAAAAAAAAAAAAGTTCTTCTATGGATTAAATTTCGAAAAAATACTATATATTGTATTTCATGATGGGAATTCATTCAAAATTAAATCAATAGTTTAATTATCTTTGAAACAATATCAAATTTAAATTTTTTTTTTATTAAACGACATGTCGAAAACAATATTCCGCCAACAGTTGGAAAGCCAAAAGAATCAAATATTCATATGTCTGTATATGTTCGTAGTGATAAAAGTACATAAATAAATATCCAGGGTTTCGTGTTCATAGTTTAAAGTTCAAAAAAACATCGTCTATGTCTGCGATCGAATAGAATCATCTGGAACGATATTCTGTATCAATACATGTTTCCACGATTTTTTTTGTGTCTCTTCTACATACAATATGTTACTATTGCATGACGGAACGATTGACTTGGTCGAATGTCCTACCGTACAATTAAGGAGAATATTTGCTGTGCAACAAATAGTGCTGAATGGCTTTAGTCGAAATCATTTAATGAAAATTGCTGTCATTGATTACTTTCACATGGTTTTTGTCATCGTCTACATTTTTTTTTGCTCGATATGCCAAGTAAAATGAAAAAACAACATTTGCAACTGGTTTTTGCATATATATCTATACATTAGGTCACCAGCATTCTACACAAAACCAACAACCACATCATCGTCAACAACAATATGCTCGTCGTCATCATCGACGTGAACGGAAAGTTCCACAAGTGATTGAAATTTCCAAAGATATGGCAACATCGAAAATTCAAGTTTGGATCACATCCAATGGGTAAGTCTCCATGTTAGTCTAATTCTGTGTAAAATATTACAATACATATACATGTGTGTTGCAGAAAATTTTTTCTTTTTTTTTGTTTTAAATTGTCAATAGTATGTCAATGTTTTGGACCGATCGATACAAAGGTTATGTTGGACCCGACTGTTTTTGTCATATCAACAGCAACCGACTCCTCACCATGGTCCCCATCATCTGGACTTCGTACACTTTCAACAACAGATGCACACGTACCGCTCAAAGCACTACTAATTGATCGTCCATCACCACCACCATCCCTTAGAAATTTATTGTTTAATATGGGAATATAGAAAACAAATAGTTTTGAACATTTGCGATACATGTACATTTTTTTTGTTATTTGTTCAACTATTGTTCTTGTCGTTTTCTGTCTGGGAAACTTTTTTCCCTAGTGAAAAAAAAATCAAGCGAATGTTTTCAGAACATTCTGTGATTTCATGTATAGATATAGGTATGTTTTTTTACTAATTATTATTCCAGTTCGATCTTTAACGAACATATTATTTTCATACGAGAGCGCCCTCTACTAATCCTATTTTATTATTGGTTACATGCTTGGCGGCCTTTTTTTTCTCTCTCTCGTCTCTCGCTCTCTCTCGCCTGGGCTACAAGTATAAATATATGTGTTCTACAAATATTCGTCTCATTTCTATCTTGTTCATCTTTCAGCTGGTCATCCATCAACATGGAACGTTCAACAAACAAAAGTTTGTTCATTTTTTTTTGTCATATCTTTTACTTTTTTTTACAAATACAGGTCGACAAAATCGAAACGATCGTCGTCAACAACCAACACCACCACAAAAACAACAACAACAACAACAACCACTCTACCAAAAACGAATTGTTGTGCCCATAAGAGGCGTTTCGGTGACGTTTTGCGTCACTTCAACAAGGTAAACAATGCAACATATTTATTGAAAAAAAAAAAAAAAAAAAAAAAGAAAATTGATTCCGCTTTGGTTTTAGCCCGATGGTGGTTCAAGTAGTGTCGCCGGTACCGGTGAAGAATACACCGATACCTGGTGGTGTTCGTGGTCGGCTTCAACTTGCCGACAGTGTTGGTGGTGGTGTTAGTGGTGGCAGCACGGTGGTAAAGCATGACAGCGAAGGAGGTCATGACTATAGTCAGTTTTTAATTGACAACATTAAATAATTTCTTTTTTGTTTTTTTTTCTATTGTTTCTTTTTTTTTTTCTTGTTGTTGCTTTTCTATTCTATGCAAGCTTTTTTGAATTAAAGTTGATTTATAGCTACTTTATTCTTATTTTGACCGCAGATTTCACGAAAATACCTTTCGAAATATCTATCTCAATGCCGACAGTTGGAAAAAATATATACGACTAGCCGGGAAAGAAAGAAATATACTCGAAAAAAATATTTAATATATGAATGTCGACGAATATGAAAGATTCTGAAAATTAAGATGTATCGAGAGCTGGAAAACACGAATTAAATGAGTGAAGGATATAGATTTCAAATATATCGATACATATGTTAAAATAAGTCAATAAGATCAACATGTGAAAGTATATCTATTTTTTTCTCAAAAAACACGAGAAAACACTTCAAATCATTTTAGCATAATCATCCAGTATTTGTTTGTTTTTTTTTTTGCATTTCATGAAAACTTAATTGAACACAAGTATTCTTATTTTCTATTTCATTCATATGGAAAATTCAATAAAAAAAAAATTAACAAGCATACAATAGAATCATAAGTAGCTTCATCGTCTTGGCACTTCTACCTAAACAAAAAAACGTTTTTCTTTTTTTTTCATATATTTAATTTTTTATAGAATTCATTGCAGACTCGAGTACTGTACGCAAAGACGTTTATTATTTCAGTTGGAATATTATCGTAATAACGCGATTAAAAAAAAAACAAAACGACGCATTGTATTACTTGTTGAGAAATTCTAAGAAGTGTAGAACAAGTTTGAACAATGCACAATATTCATATTAATGCGAACAAAGAATTTAAAAATACAATAGAAATTAACGATATGTCCGATAATCGATCGTGTGTGTACCGAATATGGATAGAAGCTATTGGTTTTGAATTTAATTTGATGCTGACATGGTGAATTTAGAAATAAGAAAACAACACTTGTGCAAATGTGTTGATGGGATCGTTTGATCCAAAAATAAATTCCTTCGAATCTAGAAGTTCCTTGTACATCAGTTTATCACACAATTTACGAAAGGAAATTAGAAGTTTCACGAAAACAATATAGCTCGTCTGTATGTTTTTTTTTCAGTATTCAATAAAAAATTGTCTAAATCGAAATCAAATCATTTTCCAACTCATGCAAGGATTAATCTGTGCCATTGTCATAGCACCCGGCTAGTCTAATAGGTTGATTATAATTGCATAAAATAATTTTTTTTGTACTTCAAATAGACTATAACCATTTATTCAAAAGGAAAAAAAAAAGAAAAGCAACAAATATATTCTAATCTTCCACATCACCATTAGCCACCTGGAGCATAACGAGCAACGGCAACAAAATGTTCGAAATCGAACTCGTAGGGCAACTCATTTTCAGATCATCAAAACCATCATCAAATATTGAAGTAAAATCATTTGAATCATCATCCACATCATCCTCACTATCGTCATCAAGAAAAAAAAAACCGGTTGGCGAGTAACACATGTAACACTAGTAATAATACATAGTTGACCAACAAATCGATTTATATTAGTGAAAAAACACTTGTCGAATATTTTCATCAGGAATTAATTGATGAATTTGATGGATTATAAAATCAACGGCACCACTTTCTATTGAAAAACGATTATTTAGAAGAAACATAAGTTGATCATATGATATGTTTTCGTCGAAACACAAACGATAATTCTTACTACGAATTATATCGTTAATTTTTATTGTTAAATCGTCAGTTATATGATAATTGAATTCATTATCATTTGATGTTGATGAGGATTGTCTAGAACCGAATTTATCGTTTGACATTACTAAACCAAAAAAAAAAAAAAAAAATTAGTACATAAAAACAGAACAAAAATGTATGAATTCAAAAAAAAAAAGAAAAAATGGTAGTGATACTTAGTCAGTGTTTTTTTCACAAGAAGATGTTTGAAATTATATGAATCAATGATTAAACAGAAAATCACAGCTATACATGTACATATTTCCTTTGTTTTTTTTTGTTCTCGTCTTCTAATTTAATTGTCTGGTTAACCTAACTACATCCTCTTGCTGACGGCTTTCCATTGAGCTCGTTTTTTTTTTCGTTGTATTGCGATATATAATTTCGGTTAGATTCTAGTCGTACCCTCGAAATAGAAGACCTTTGATATTAAATTTAATTATATTTAATTGCTTCATGAGTCATTACTATTTTCGAGAAATTCTTTGAGTTTAAATTTAGGTTCATAAAACATCAGGAAACTTTATTCTACAGCAAAAATACAAACTGAAAGTCAATCGATTTAATCTTATTGTAATATACTCATAATATCATTCACATAAGAAAAACAAATTAATATTGCTGATAATTTTTATCGAATTGAGGTAATACAATACATGGTTTCCACGGTAAATATTTTAGAAAACCATCGCGTTTAAAAATATCTATGAAAATGAAAGGATCAGCGATATGTCCATTTTTTTAGGGCTTTAAAATCAAAATGTTTCAATTGTAATTTTTTAACAAAAAAAAAAAAAAGAAGAAAAAAAGTAGTTCAACGTATATGATTTACAGAAATATGTTCGAACATGACTGCAAAAGAACGCGCTCTATTGGCACTTTTTTCTCATTGGTTACTTCAAAAAATACCCACTTTTTTTCTTTCGTTGTCTTTTCAAGTGATTATTTTTTTTTTTTTTTTTTTTTAATTTTTTTCAACCGTTCTTAAACGAATTTCTATCCGCCGTAATTATAAATAGTGGTGCTTATACGTGAACACATTACATTTATTTTTGAACTTTAAAAACGTCCTTTCACTTTTCATCTCCATCCTCAATGTTTCCTGTACCTTTTCGTCGTAAGTACATTATATTATTCAATTACTCTCTATAAATTTTAATTCAGGTCCTCGTCATCGTCATTACCGTCAACAACATCGACGACTGCAACAACAGCACCAACCTATTATTATCCAACATCATATTTTCATCATTATCCTCCTCAACAACAATCCAACTCCTCCTCCTCCTCCTCTTGCTGTTCAAACACCATCGTGAGTCAATTGTATTATACCGCTGAGCATTTTGTCATTATTCTTTTTTTTTTCCATTGCAGATTAACAAGAATTGAAATGATGGTGGCCATGATGGTCGATTTATTGTTTTGGTGGTCTCGTCTTTGTGGCGGCTTTATTTTTTTCGTAGCTTTTCTCTTGTTTGTTCTTTTCGTTTTGTAAGTTGTACAATTTTTTTTTTTGTTTCTTCTATGCATATAATAATATGTGAAACGTAATGAAATATTTATCTGTAGTAAGAAGAAAAAAAAAAAAAGAACTTATGGATCGTTGAGAATTCGAAATGAAAATCTATCACAAATTTCTTGAGAAAACAAATATTGAAAAGCTTATGTAAAAAAAAAATGACGCCTTAAAATATAGCTTCGCATGTATTAAACGGTGATGATGTTCGTTCCACCTTGTATATTTCTCATGCAAATATTAGATTTTAGTCGTATAGGAACAGCATGGAATGTTTCATTAATAAAATTTTCATATAAGAAACAGTAAATATTAACTTCTCCTTGCGCGTATATGTTCATGATATACGATTATTCATCGTGAGATTTGCATCAGTATTCTTAACCATTGGAGTGGACTGTCTAGTTTCCTATCAGATTTTTTTTATATGCCATATTCATGTTCATTGTACCCGTGAATATAAGAATCTATTGTAAACAATTGAATGTTGCAGTTTCAAACAATATCCGTATAACTTTTCTTCAATGTACCATTGATTTCCATCTTTTACGAAACATAGCTCGTAGAAGCTTTCTTGTTTAAAAAAGAAAAAAAGACAAATAGACAAACTCCGAATTATCGGAACCACTTTTATAAATGCACGATCCAAAAGCTGAAATATAGTATAAACAATCATTTCGAATATCCTCAAACGAAGTTACTGCAAAGAGAAAAACGGAATTAGTAATTGACAACTTCTTCGCGCAACAAATTCGAGAAAGAAAGTTTAAATCAAGCTGAATACAATGGAATAATTGAAAACAGAAATGTGAAAATAATCATACGTAAGGGGAAAATGAATGAGAGACAAGTTTTACTTACTCTTCATACTGCGGATAGTGATTTTAGTTTTTAATCACATACATTCATTTGTAAATCAACTCAAAATCAACTTGCTCTTTGAACCATAAAATTTTTTCTGATTATATATTAAATAAACCTTGTGTGTTTCGTAAAGAAATTACATCGTGTAAAATAATCTTGTAATTAACAGCCGATGATTCCACAAATTATATATATATTTCTGCTCGTTTGATATTTTGCTAATATTCAACTCATAAATTATTTGAGCGTGATACGTAATCAAGTTAATCGTCGACGTTTGCTTCAACAACAACGGCAACGACGTCGATTACAACGACAACAACAACAACAACAACAACAACAACAACAACAGCAACAACAACAACAACAACAACAACAACAACTACAACAACTACAACAACAAGCACAACAACAATATCAGGTCTTCTTCGTGGCTGGCTCGTTACGAGGTGGTGGTAGTGGTATGGTCCTCGTAACGAGTGACAGGTAAACTAATTTGTTAGTTTTTACATCATCATTATATCTTTTTTTTTTTTTTTTTCTAGTCCAATTACTGTCAACATGATTCCGTTCTCGTCGTCTGGTTCTGCTGCTCCAGCACCAACAACACTTCAACGACAATGGCCTGATCATCCTGATTATACACAATTTGACATTAATAACATTTAATTTGTTTTGTTTTGTTTTGTTTTTTTGTTTGCTCCCCTGGTGCTTTTTTTTGTTGTCTTTGCCATTGTTGGTCGTTGTTTGGCCTTTCTTTTGTCTCTTGGTGGTTTTTTGGCCGGTGATACACTTTTTTAGCTTTTTCTTTTTTTTTTTTAATAGAAAAAGCGTTTAGGATTATACTTTTTTTTTTGTTTCACAGTTTCACTTCAGGTCGAATTACTCAGAAACATATTGAGATAGTTACATAAAAAAAAAACTAAGTTCAAAAAAAGAATGATTATAAGAAAAACAGCGATGATGTTACTGATACTGGCGTGATGACTCTACAGGTAGAAAATCAGAGTGTTCTAGGAAAGTTGGTTCCTTTGGATTATACTACCAACGCAATAAAATTCGAGTATTCTTGAGACATGAGAATGATATTCGTTTTTTGGCATAATTTTCTTGAAAGACAGGGACTTTTGCAAAGATTCGGTAACCAATAGTTGCAACTGAATTGTTGTCTGAATATCAACAGTCTTGGGTATGAAATGTACGACTACGGGATACTTCTTTTTTTTTTCAACATATTGTTAAA